TAAGAAAGTATGAGAACACATGGACACAGGGAGGGGAGCACTACACACTGGGGTCAGTTGGGGGGAAATAGGGGAGGGATGGTGGGAGGTGGGGAGTTGGGGAGAGATAGCAAGGGGAGAGATGCCAGATGTAGGTGATGGGGAGGAAGGCAGCAAATCACACTGCCACGTGTGTACCTATTCAACAATCTTGCATGTTCTTCACATGTACCCCAAAACCTAAAATGCAACAAAATAAATAAATTGGAAAACAAAAAAAAGAAAAAAAAACATTCAGATAAAGTTTTAAAGTTTTAGCAATTATATTAAAATAAGTACAGGCATATCCCAGATACATTGTGGGTTTGGTTCCACACCACAGCAGTAAAGTGAGTATCACAATAAAGTGAGTCAGTCACACAATGTTTTGGTTTCCCAGTGCATATAAGTTATGCTTATACTGTAGTCTATTAAGTGTGCAATAGCATCATGTCTAAAGAACAATGTACATATCTTCACAAAAAATATTTTATTGCTAAAAATTGCTAACAATCCCCTGCTCCTTCAGCAAGCTGTAATTTTTTTGCAGGTAGAGGATCTCATCTTGATGATGATGGCTGCTGACAGATTAAGGTGGTAATTGCTAAAGGTTAAGGTAGCTGAAGCAATTTCCTAAAAGAAGACAACACTGAAGCTTGCCTCATTTATTCAATCTTCCTTTCATGAAAAATATTCTCTGTAGCATGAAATGCCATTTAAGAGCATTTTTCCTGACAGTAGAACTTCTTTAAAAATTGGAGTCAATCTTCTCAAACTGTGCTGCTGCTCTATCAACTAAGATGATGTAATATTATAAATTCATTGTTGTCATTTCAAAAATGTTCACAGCACCTTCACCCACTAAAACCTACTTTCTTAGCTCATTCATTAGAAGCAACTCTACCTGTTCGAGTTTTATAATGAAATTGCTGCAATTTAGTCACATCTTCAGGCTCCATTTCTTTTTGTTTGTTTGTTTGTTTGAGATAGGGTCTCCCTCTGTAGCCCATGCCGAAATGCAATGGCACGATCATGGCTCACTGGAACCACCGCCACTGGGCTGCAGCAATCCTCCCACCTCAACCTCCCAAGTAGCTGGGACTACATATGTGTACCACTACACTCAGTTAATTTTTTTAAATTTCTTTTGTAGAGATGGGGGCCTTGCTATGTTGCCCAGGCTTGTCTTGAGCTCCTGGGATCAAGAGATTCTCCCACCTCAACCTCCCAAAATGCTAGGATTACAGGTGTGAGCCATCATGCCTGACCTTCAGGGCCCATTTCTAATTCTAGTTCTCTTGCTATTTCTACCACATCTACAGTTACTCCCTCCAATGAAGTCTTTAGACCCTCAAAGTTATCCATGAGGCCTGGAATCAACTTCTTCCAAACTCCTGTTAATGTTCATATTTTGACATTCTCACATGAATCACAAATATTCTCAGTAATATCTAGAATAGTAAGTTATTTCCAGAAGATTTTCAATTTACTTTGCCTACATCCATCAGATCATTTGCCACTATTTATGGCAGCCAATGTCTTAAGAAATGTATTTCTTATATAATAAGACTTGAAAGTCAAAATTATTTCTTGATTCTTGGGCTGCAGAATAGACGTTGTGTTACCTCCTTGTATATCTCCATCAAATCTCTTGGGTGATATGTGCATTGTCAACGAGCAGTAACATTTTGAAATAAATCTTTTTCTCTGAGCAGTAGCTCTTAACAGTGGGATTAAAATATTCAGGAAACCATGCTCTAAACAGATGTGCTGTCATCCAGGCTTTGTTCTTCCATTTATAGCACACGGGCAGAATAGATTTAGCATAATT